AAGAAGCATGTTTCTCCTTGGCATATGTTGCCAGTATTCATGTTCTTAAGGTTTTGAAGTGTGGCCAATCTGATAGGTGAGAAATGTTATCTCAGTGGAGTTTTGATTTGCATTTCTCTTGTTCTGAGTAACCTGCATTTAGAATTGAGTGAAAGTAGTCATCCTTCTTGTCTTTGTTTTTGGTGCTCAGTGAAATACAGCAACTCCTGAGCGCTCTCCCTTCCAACAGGGGCCTCGTATTTCACATCCCAGCTAAAATATCCCTCCTCTCTGATGCTGTGACACCTTCAGTATAAGGTTAATCGGTTCCCACCTGCACTGCTGTGGTATGCTGCAGGTAGTTCAGGGATACCCTGCGGGGAAGGACCTTGGTTCTCTACCTTTACATCTTCAGTGACCACAGAGTGTCAGGCGAATGAGTGATGATTACTAAGAATTTGCTGGATAAATTGAAAAAATTATTTAAAAATCATGTATGACATAAGAAAATTAATATTTTTTACTTGAACTCTGGAAGTTTAAAGTTCATGGTTGTACTTGTGACTTCATTGTTTTTATCTGTATTATTCCATAATTTTCTCAAAAGAAAGTCTTTGCACAATGAGATAAATACAGTATATTAAAATTTCAAGAGTTTCTACAATATTTATTTTGGGTATAGTAAAAATATTTCTTACAAAAAGCACAGCAGCATCATATTGTTGTATCGTTAGAAATTAATCATTTTCAAAGTCCAAAATAAATCTGTGATATGGGCAGACTGGTGTCCAATAATTGAAAGCCTACCCTATAGCACTGGTTCTAGTTAACGTATATTTGTACCTGCCAGATAAAATATTTCTGTAATCTTAAACTTTCTAAAATGCCATTTTCTGTTGTCATTCTTGTTTTAGCTGGGCACGGTGTCACATGCTTACAGTCCTAGCACTTCAAGAGTCTGAGCCTTCTTGGGTTCACAAGATCGGACGCAGGCCTGGTAGTTTGGCAACTTAGTGAGACCCTTGTCTCAAAATAAAATTTTTTTTAAAGGGCTGGAATGTAGCGTAGTGTAAAAACCTGGGTGCAATCCTCGGTACTAAAACAAAGCTATTTTTCAGGTAAACTGTCATACACTGCTTAAGTGTTAGGGCAGAAGATTTACATGTTGCATGTTAGGAAGCAGTTTATATTAGAAATGGTGAAGTTGGAGATTGCAGTAATGGTAATCTATTGCTAAATTATTCTGCTTGGGTTTTTAATGCTATTTTAGTGATGCTGTATTTCTCTTAAGGGATGTTCCCACCCTCTTTTTTAAAAAGGAAGGAGGGAGGTGAGAATGGTGTGTCCAATAATAATTGTTAGTATCAAGGATTAGAATAACAAGGGAAAACAAACAGATACACTTATTTCTAAGAAAAAATGCGGAACCACATAAGATGATGGAAACAGCCTCAATGTTTTATAGAGGAAAGCACAGATCATAGTGTTTTTGCTTGGTGGATCAATCAGCTGTTAAAATGATTAGAAGTGAAGACCTTGTATAAAACAAAATGTTTAATAAAATAGTGATTAAAAATTTATATCTACTGTATGTTCATAATTATATGGAGGAAAATAGGCAAAAATGAGAATTGAAGTAAGAATGTACATTATTTGAATTTTTACCCTCATTTTTGTTACAAATATTGCTGTGCATTAAAAATATAGAAAAATGCAAAGACTGTGGTCAACTAAAGAGGGAAATCAAAGTAAAACAGAGGACAAAAGAAAGACAGCCTGACTTTCACATAGTTATTTACTGAGTCACAGAATTTTAGAAATGGAAGTCTTTCCCAATACATTTAAAAATTTTAGGTTTTAGGGCTTCAAAATTAAAAATTATTGAAAACTATAAAAAGCTTTTGTTTATGTGGCTTATACCTGTCAATATTTTCATATGACAAATTAAAGTTGAGAAATTTCATATAACCAATTAAAATTGTTATTAAAAATAGCAATGATAAACGTGCTTATATAAACAACACATTTATGAAAAATAACTAAATATTTTATGAAAGATAACAGTGATAAACCTATTGCATGTTAACATAAATAATGTGTTTATGGAAAAATAACTGTCTATTCTAAAATAACAATTTTTAATGGAAAGAATGCTAGTGCTTTGTAGTTTTTTTTTCCAAAGATTTGGCTTAGTAGAACACAACTGGATTGTCATATCTGCTTATGGATTCAACCTTTTGTGATACGTTGTTTTGGTTAAAGTATGGGGAAAATATCTGGTTTCACACAGTTCCCTAGTTGTAAGAGGGAAAAGTGTTCTCATAGCCTTTTCAGGTAATTGTGGCTGGATCCTCTTGCCTCTGGAAAGCTCTACTATATACTTAATGAGAGAACCAGATTGAAAGTGTCAGGCATATCGTATCTTAGTATTATAAAAGCAGTTTTGGCTCATAGACTGTCTGAAAATTGTTAAGACTCCCCCAAGAGGTCTGACCACACTTTGGGAACCACTGTTTAAGTCTTTCAGGAGAGAAAATTGAAACCCAGAAATGTTCAGTATTTTCCTCAAATCACAGGGTTGATAGAAGACAGAGGACTGGGACACAGCTTCTCCACTTTCATTCCTCATGCTTTTGGAGAACTTTAGAACTTGCTTTAACCTTTGGAAATTGATCCTGAATGTATATATGAGGATCATATCCCCAAAATATATTTTTTATTTTAAAGTTTTAAAAAAATTATTTCATTGGTGAATTAAAACATTTTAGAGAAAGTAGCTGTTGTAGTTTGGGGTTTTGCAAGGGGAACAATATAATACAGGACACATTTTATAAGATTATTTATAATAGTCACCCAAAGAATCACATGCAAAGAGAGAGGGTAGGAAATCAGTCCACACACTAAAGACCAAAGAATCCACCTCAGGGCCTGGATCCCATAGTAATGTCCTGCATGAGTCCAGTTGAAGACATAGAGCCCATTAGAATGCCTCCCACAAGTCCAGCTGGAGGCCTAGAACCCATGACGATGTTTTATGCAGGCCTGTTTCATGGATCTGCACTGGGAATGCCCAAAGGTCAGTGATGGAAGCTAGAAAGTCTGTGCCAGCGGGATGAAGGATCTCTACTAGCAGGCTGAGGGATCTGAACTGGAGCCAGGAAGCGATGCTCAAATTAAGAACAGAGCTCCCCTGAAAAATGCCACAGCCATCCTGATCAACGGTGAGGTCCCGAGCTCGTCCGAGGATGAGGACAGTTGAGATCCTGTCAGGAAAGCCAGCACGACAAGCTTCTCCAGGAGATTGAGCAATGCACCATCTTCCCCTCTGGAGTGAGGAAGCAGTGCTCAAAGTGAGGACCAGAGTTCCCCCAAAATGAACCATAGCCATTCCCAATGACAACAGTGAGGTCCCAAACTTGCCTCTGATGAGAACAGCTGAGTTCACCAGGAAAGCCAGCATGACAAGGTCCTCCAGCACAATAGCCCGAGAACCAGCAGTTCCCTAACAGCTTCACAACAGCTTCTAACAGCATCTAGCAGCTTCTAAACTTTTTCCTCTTCAGTTCTGCCATTTATGCTGCTGGCAGCAATCCCCAGGTGGGCATTCCACACCAAGCACCATGCTGGTTCAGTTCATGTGGGTGTTACAAGTGGACCACCAGTTGTCAGTCCACCACAGTAGCATTCAGATTGTAAGCAGATTTGTAAAAATGTAATTTTAAATTAATATATAAAGGTATAGAAATATACTAGATTTATAATAGAGGCTGGGATAGGTTTTAATTTTTGCTGACCTAGCTAATTTTTGCTGACCTAGCATCTTTTTTTCTAGCAATTGTGACACTTTTGGTTTCATTTTGGTTTGTTGGTTATTTGTGTGTCCACAGTATGAGGCATTTTCCATGTCTCCCTCCATTCAAATGTTAGGTTGTATTCTGGTTTTTAGTATTGTTTACTCATTCTTCCTAGACTCCACTAGAGTCTCAGAAACAGCAGAAATGTGGATGTCTCTTCCGCTAGCACAGAAATATGGAAAGAACTGGGACTGATGACTCCGGGCTGCTTCCTCTGTTATTTTTTTTCCTCCTCTTTCTTGCATAGATCTCAGTCTCTTTCTTCTTTCCCCTGGCAGCACTGGCCCCGCATCTGGCTTCTCTCAGTTTGCTGCACCTTTTCCAGGTTTTTAATATAATGCTTCTCTACTTTTCTTTAGAGTAGAGTGTGAAGCAGGACCCATGTGTCCAGGTTATAAATTACAGAACTCCCTGTCAAGTTGCATGGCACTATCTCAGCTCCTTTTTTCTTTCCCTTTGTGGCTAGAGAGGTGTTTTGTGGGTTGGCAGCAATAAAAAGAAAATTTATTAATTTGAAATATTAGTGAAAATTTGTTCTCACTACATCGTGTAACTTTGTGTAGGGCATAATCATGTTAGTGTTTCACATAAAATGGAAATTTTCTGTTTAAAAAGAACAGAAAAATGCAGTGTACCCTAAGCTTCTATTTTCTCTTCTGTAGATGAGTTGTTAAATAATGTTTGAGTATTTTTATTTTAAAGAGTAATGTCTAAGAGTATTTGGCCTTTGCTTTATTATTTATTCAACAACTAATTAAGTGCCCACTGTATGCCAGGCACTATTGGGAATGCTAGAAGTATTGTAGGCAACCAGATTTCAGAGTTCTAGTCCTGGCTGTGTGTGTGATTTGGATAGAGCCATTACCAGTCATTGAAATGCTTTGCTTTTTGTTTTCTCATCTGTCAGATGAAGACACCAGTAGTCAACTTTCTTACTTTATACAGTAGTCTTAGAATGCAAATAAAATACCATATATGGAAATGCATTTTATGTAGTAGTCATATGTAATATAGTATATAGTAGTGATGGTAATAATGTACAATATTATTTTGCTGGAAAATTTCTCATGCAGTGTGTTCATACTTAGTTGAGAGAATACTAAATTAATGTAATCTTGAAGTTCAGAGATACTTAAAAGATAATATTTGTTTTTCTTCTGTTTACAGAAAAAGATAATGCTGAATATGTTCTTAGACACAATGATGGCCGATCCTCCCCCACAGTGCCTTGTCTGGCTACCTCTCATGCACAGGCTTGCCCATGTTGAGAATGGTGAGCAGAACTCTCAGTGTTCAGTTCCTTATGCTATAGGGAATACTGGGACTGCTTATTTGAAATGTCCTTAACTGTTAGCATTGAAAATTATAACTGACAGTCCATCATTTGAGTTAGTGATTTTAGCTTTCAAAGAAGAATGTTTATTTCTAAAAAGGAATAGGCATGTTATGTAGCTGAAATTTCAAGAAAGAATACCAGATCATAACACTTCGTGGTTGAGACTAGGGTTTTTTCTCTCTGAGATCACAGGGGATTATTATTTACTTGAGTCTACCTGGCTTAGCCATGATTTATCTTTTTTCCTGTTTAATTTGTCAGAATCATAGCTCTAATAAATTGGATATGTGCAGTATTATCCACTAAAGCTATAATTACTTTTGAATAGCTTAAAGAAAAATAACTAAGATACAGTGTGGTACTTAGTCTCCTATATCTTCTTTTTTTTTCAAACAGCTTTACCTTGAATGTACTCTTGTATCCTTCTCAGCAGTAATTTAACTTAAATCTTTGTTTTGTGTTGAGTTTAAATGGTACTCATTTCTTACAAACTTTTAACATTTTCTGCTGTTGCCATCAATTTATCTCCTTATTTAGCTTGATTTAATTAAAGGGAAGGCTGTAGCTTTTCTGTGTAACCTTCCTTCTCTCTAGGCTGGTCTCTGTCTCTTTCATCCCATGAAAAAGAACAAAAGCCAGCTGAGAAGCCTACAAAGGAAAGTCCTCACTCCCTCCCCTTCTCCAGTACTTCTCCCCCGATCCCTTCTATCCATACTTTTTTTTTTTTTTTTTTTTTTAACAGACTTCTGCCCAACTATAGCTTTCATTCACAAGTGTCTCAGATTTAGGAGTGTTTATTTTATTTTAACTTACTTTATTTGACAGAGTCTCACTATGTAGGGCAGGCTAGTCTTGAACTCCCTTATGTAGCCCAGACTCGCCTCAAACTCATGATGATCCTCGGGCCTCAACCTCCCAAGTGCTGGGATTATAGGCGTGTGCCACTACACCTTCGTTTAGGATTATTTTCTTAAAAGACAACAATCTTTTGACTGGACTAAAACCACTAAAATTTTTAGCAAGATTTTTGAATAGAGATTTAAATTGCTAACTTATACCAGTATTATAGATTCTTTGAAGGCAGTGCTTTTATATAGCCTTAAGTGTTTCCGTAGGTTCACATCTAGTTAGTTTTCATAAAATAACTTCATATCTGCTGTGAGTAGAAAGAACCTCATTTGTCAAGATATATGTCATCCATATGAATATTTTATTGTATCTTTGTGTGTCTTGTATTGATTACAGCCTTTTATGGTTAGTGATTATTTTTCCTTGGAGTCAGATGTTATGAAATCATTGAATTATATCTAGAAATAAAACATTTTATTCATCACATGAACATTTGTTTTTATGTCTTAATTTTTACAGTGGAATACATTCTAAAATTATAGTATTTTTAGGTTTTTTGGCTTTGGCCCTTTTCAACCACTCTGTTGAAATTCCTTTCAGAATGACAAATATTTACTTTCTTAAGCTGAATTTGTACTTTTAAAATTATTGGTTTTTAAATCCAAGTGTATAGTATATAAGAAGATAGCTTTTGTGTGATACACTTTAACAAAACAATACTTTTACCAGGATCTGAATAGTTTTTATCTTACTAGTAGTTGATCTTTCTTATTCTTGGGTCTTCCTTTCCCACCTAGTTACCCATTTTACTATTACAAGCAAGGACTCCTGGCTGGCTTAGAATAAAATCACATAGACATACATGTGCAACCAAAGTTATCAGAATACATCTGATTTTTTTTTTTTTCAAAGACGTATTGATTGCTTCAAAGTGGTTACTCAGGAAAACAGATATACACGTAAGACTGATCAAACAATTAATCATTAACTGATCCTTTCAGTAAAGTGATAGAAGTCAGTAGTACAACTATGTTAGCTATCTTGTAATACATATGTACATAATTTTCCCCTTCTTTCTTTTCTCTTTTGCCTCATCACAGTTGCTCTTACTTTTGAGCAGTTTCCTTTCATTTCACAATGTCTGTCATACCTCCTAATTTTTATTCACTCTTTCAGGTTCTTACACTAGTGATACAATACGTTATTTTCATATGTGGGTCTGATTTATTTCACTTATGAGTATGGTTTCTAGTTGTGACTATTTACCTATAAAAGCCTTGAATTTATCTTTCCTTATAGCTGAGTAATATTCTATGATATAAAAATACCACAACTTTTTTTTTCCATTCCTCAGTGGATGGACTTTTGGGTTGCTTCTACAATTTAGCTGTTATAAATTGTCAAGCACACAATCTTATTAGCTCTTTTACAGTCTTTCAGAAATACCTGGCTGACAAAAAAGAGACAACTTAGATTCTTTGGTTCTAATTTTGTTTCCACCTTGGCTTTTATATTAGATTTGGTTTTCTTCTGTACTTTCTTCTCCAGAGAACATAATTCTTTTTTTCTTTCCTTGCCTTTTGTCTCTGTGGGTCACCAGTCTTCCACCCTGTGGAGTGCTCCTATTGTCGCTGTGAGAGCATGATGGGCTTCCGGTACCGATGCCAGCAGTGCCACAACTACCAGCTCTGCCAGAACTGCTTTTGGCGTGGCCATGCCAGTGGTCCTCACAGCAACCAGCACCAGATGAAGGAGCATTCCTCTTGGGTAACTGCTTTGTCTTTCAGTTTGTATCTCTGACAATTTGTGTGTCTCATTTGTAATAGTACCTGTGCCAGGATCCTGAAGCATACCCTGCCTGAGAAGGATGTGGTCTAATGAAATCTTTCCACACTGAGTTTTAAAAACAGAATTTTGGAGATGGAGAGATTATTGCGTTTGAAATACTCTTTTTTTTTCAGTAAGATGGAAATTTTATGATGCTGCCTTCCCAAAGTAAAATGTAGATTTCTTCTGATTTTAAAACTATACAAGGTATGCCCTTCCCTTATGCTTACTGTTTTGAGCTTCCATAAGGTTTAAAGTTCTCTTTTCCAGTAGCTTTTCTTCATGTTGGTAGGGTTTGAATGTTACAGAGAAATCAGCATGAAATAAAGGATTTAAATTTTTGTAGCTTTTATGTTGGGGAAAACATTGTATTTTCCAGCTGTTGGCCATACTGTTGTACTTATAATCATAAATAGTTTTTAAAATAACAATATTTGCATAGACCTTGATATCTTCCCTTTTTGTGGTGTTTATAAAGTTTATGGGATGCTTATCAGTTTTTCTTTCTCTTATTTCTAGAGTTTTAAAAATGCCATACTCTTTCCAAAATGTTGTTCTAGACCTTGTTTTAAAGCCTTTTAGTTTTAATGGTAGAACGTACTGTATAGAGTCAGAATTATAATTCAGAGTCTAGGTTCTTAAGACTGGTCATCTTACTGGACTTCATGTATTAAATAGCATTAATAACTAGGGACCCCCCCACCCCCTTGGTCTTTTAAACGAAAAGCTCTGATGTAGTTCTGGGGTAGAAGACGTACCTGCCATGCACGGGACCCTGTGTTTGATTTCCAGCATGGCAAAATAAACCAACCCCAAGATTGGCTACGTGTTTGTCTGTTTTGTTGTTTTTCCTTCAGAGAACAAGTTCTTTGATTCATTTATTCTTTGTATTGTTTTTGATCTCAATTTCATTAATTTTCTTCCTCTCTTTATAATTTCCTTCCTTGTACTCACTTTAGATTTAAATTCTTCTTCTTTCTTTCTTTTTTTTCTTTTAGGACCTTGAGGTGTATCATTAGGTTATTTATTTGGGCTCACTGTTTTTGTGATATAGGCACTCACTGCTATGAACTTATGTCTTAGGACACTTTTCATTGTGTCCCCTAGGTTTCATTATGTTGTACTGGCATTATCATTTTATTCTAGGAATTAATTTCTTCTTTGACTTCTTCTGTGATCCATTGATTATTCAAGAGAGTATGAGGGGCTGGGGATTTAGCTCAGCGGCAAAAGCGCCTGCCTGGCAAGTGCAAGGTTGTGAGTTCGGTTCCCGGTACCGGAGAAAAAACCAAAAAAAAAAACAAACCAAAAAAAAAACAAAATCAAGAGAGTATTGTTTAACATATTCATGACATCATTCTTGGTTGTTTTTTTTTGTTGTTGTTTTGTTTTTTTTCTGGTACCGGGAATCAAACTCATGACCTTGTGCTTGCCAGGCAGGCACTCTGCCGCCGAGCTAAATCCCCAGCCCCATGATATCACTCTCACATCTTGTTGCTGGGCAGCTCTGATTTGAATTCCATTGTCTGGTATTAAATACTGGTGGTTCAAGCTACTTCATGGGACACTCATGCATGTACCAACCAACAGTGGTTCAACCTGACAGGAATGTGTCAATTTCCATATGTTTGCATAATTTCTGTGGTTTCATTTGTCATTGATTTCTAATTTCTTTGCACTGTGATCTGGTAATATGCATGGGATAATTTCATTTTTACATTTATTAAATATGCTTTATGGGCTAGCATATGGTCTGTTTTTGGAGCAATCCCATGTTTACTAAAGTAAAATAAGTATATTCTGGGTGGAATGCTATGAATATCTATTAAATCCATTTGTTCAGAAGTTTGGTTCAACTCTGATATTTCTTTGTTGCTTTTTTGTCTAGTTATCTCTTTGTGACAGTGGAGTATTGAGGTCCCCCATTATAATTGTGTTGCTATCTGATTTTGTTACGTCCAGTAGTGTTTGTTTTTGAAGTTGAGTCTGCCAGTGTTTGGTGCATGTATGTTTATAATTGTTATCTCTTTCTGTTGAATTTTTCCCTTAACCATTTTGTAGTGACATTTTTGGCTCTTCTGATCAGTTTCAGCTTAAAACCTACTTGTGTGAAATTAGTATAACTGCTCCTTTTTTTCTGTGTTTGTGTTGCATGGAATATTGTTTTCCATCCTTTGATTTTTAGTCTGTGAGTTTCTTTTGGGTGAAGTGTGTTTCTTATATAATACATACCACTAGGTTTTGTTTCTTGATCCATCCTGCCAGTCTTTGTCTTTTAATTGGGGAATTTAGACCATTCACATTGAGAGCTATTACTGAAAGGTATTAACTTACTTCTGTCATGATGTTCCAGTTGCTGACCTCTTCCTCCTCCTGCTTAACTTCTCACCCTGTCTGGTCTGTTGATTCTCTTAGGTGTTTTGGCATTGTTAGCTTCATTGTCTCACTCAGGGTTACTCCGGAGAATTTTTTGTAGTGCTAGTTTGGTGGTCATGAATTTCTTGAGGTCCTCTTTGTCATGGAAATACAGTACATTATTTCTTCACTACTTTTGAGGGAAAGTTTTGTAGGATATATCAGTGTGGGTTGGAAGTTGTTATATTTTAGGGCTTGAAACACTTCAAGCTCTCCTGGCCTTTAAGGTTCATGTTGAGAAGTCTGTTGTAATTCTAATGGGGTTACCTTTATAAGTGATTTGTTGCTTTTCTTTTATAGCTTTTAAGATTCTCTCCCTGTGTTGAACTTGTAATATTTTGACTGTGATGTGAAGCAGAGAGGTTCTGTTTTGATGGTGGCTGTTTGGTTTTCTTATGCCTCACTTATCTCTATGTTTAGTTCTTTCCCAATATTTGGAAAGTTTTTGCTCTTATTTCAGTAAACAGGTTTTTTATGCCTTTTGTGCTGTCTTCTGATTTTCACTTATTCCACTTAATCTTTTTTGTGTCATCTAACAGCTACTGAATGCATTTTTCATAGTCTTTTATTGTTGTAAGGTATTTCTGAGTAATTGGTGTGTGAAAGCATCCCTGTCTTCTGATATTCTGTCCAACATTGGTCACTTCTGCTCATAGTTTAAATATAGTTTTTAATCTGGATTTCTTTTTTTTCCCTTCTTCTGTATTTCTTTTGAAACCTTTTCTTGGACTCTTGTTCTTTGCTAAACTGGTCATTGATGTTTTGTATCAGCTCTTTTTATTAGAGTCTTCTCTAAATTCCCTGATTGTTTTGTTTATTACCTCTGTTATCTGATTAGAGGGCCAGGGATATAGCTCAGTGGCACAAGTGCCTGCCTGGCAAGTGCAAGGTCCTGAGTTTGATTTCTGGTACCAAAAATAAAAAACAACAACAATAAAAAACCAGTATACCCTACAAACAAATATAGCATTTACTCACATTATATGTTGAGTCTATAATTTGGGCCAGGGATATAGCTCAGTGGCGCAACATCTGCTTGGAAAGCTCAAGGTCCCGAGTTCAATTTCTAGTACTGAAAAAAAGGAAAAAAAAGAAAATATCTGTTTAGTTACATTTTCTGTGAGCCCTTGACTGATCTGTTTTTAATCTCCTCTGCTATCCTTTCTAATAATTCAGCTTTGTGGCTTTTGCTTTCTTCCTCTTCAGTGCTCTGTGGATCAGCTTTGGGGGATATGGTAGTTTTAGGAGGCTTTTTATTGACTTACTTTCTCATGCTTTTGTTTTATTTATTTTGTTTTGCTTTGCTTTGTTTTGTTTTGAGCTTAGGTATCAGTCAGTTCTAGTGGAAAGACTTTGTTGCTAGTATGGAGATCTGCTTACTTAGCTTTTCACTGATGCACTCAAGGTGTAGCTAGCTGTAGTCCTTTGCCTCTGTCTGGAGATCTGATAATCTCAGTTAATTTGTGGGGGGAATGTAATGTATTTTCCCAGCATCCAGTTCTGGACCTCAGTATTTACCAATATCACAAAGGTAATCCAGGTATTGGCATACACAGAGAGCCGTAATAGCAGTAGGTATGTGATTCTGGCAATAACAAGTAAGTCAGGAACAGTAATATTGTGCAAGTCAAACTGGATATTGATACACCTTAAAAACCATTAATGTACATCTTTAATCTTAGAAATGTATGATTATAGTATAAACTCTAAGACAAAGGAAGTATTAACATTCAGTAAATATCTACTAAATATGATAACTATACTTCCACTGATAGAAAAGAATTCAACAGTAATAACATAGTTAGCTATCTTTAATAAAGATTAATAAAGCTTAATAGTTATACTATTAAGGATACAGGAGTTTAGGAAGAGAAAAAGGCAAAAAAGAAAATTTTGAAAAATTAAACAATGGGGGATGAGAAGAGAAAAGTGAGACAGGATCCTGTTGTGGAGTAAAAGAATATTTAAAGAATTATAAAAAGATAGCCAAAAACCGAGAAATAAAAGATACAAGAAAAACAGGACATAATATGGAGAATAAAATTAGAAAAATGTAAAAAGAAAAAAAAGCACGAAGAAGAAGGAAAAAAGACAAAACAAATGAGTCCAAAACCAGAAAAAAACAATTTTTTTCTATATTTTTGAATGAGTGGCTTTCTTGTAGGATCTGCAGTTTTGGAGTCCAGAAAGTCACATTTTCTCTGGTAGCCTTACAGCCACTGAATTTGTGAGATGTGCCCCTATTTCAGGGTCCTGTGTCCAACAGGCTCTGGCAGTGTCCACAGTGAGATGCGTCTTTGCTTGCGCTCATGGATAGGGAAGGTAATCAGGCCTCAGATCTGTGTTAGATGTAGGCTAGGAGGGAAAAGGTTCAGGTACTTAGTGCCAGTGGGCATTTTCAGATCCAGCTTTTTCTGAGTGCAGCGGGCTTCTTGCTGCAAGGGTGGGGCCATGTCTTTTCTGGCCTGAGGTTAAATGTCTCAGGGGATCTCTTTCTAGCCAGCTCTGTGTCCATAGCTGTTTCC